AGATTTAGGCGACTTGAATGGTCAATCCTCGTTTTGTCCATTGCATCTCCGTAAGACCCGTTACGGAGCCGTAGCTTTACGGTACGTGGATCGAAGCGTAACCGTGAAAGTGAGCCGCAGCGGTCCGTAACGTAACTCTGCCCATCGATGAACTCGGGCGTTTTCTCACTAACTATAGAAGTTTACATGCGCTTTCAGGTGTACAGAAACCAACAAGAATTTCTCGAAATTTCATCAACAGTCGATAGTTGATTATTAGAATTTATTCTGCATTATTGAGAATTTTTCCAAATGCGACAGGTGCATCCTTACATATTCAATAGTATGCTTCAACAACTGGGAAGGAATATCCGTTTCTTTGTACTCTGGTTGAACGTAGAGATGAATCAACTTCCCCATTACTCCATGGAAACTCGAGTTTCCCCCTTCGAGGGCTGGCCTCCTGATGCACACATCTTAACGACCCCCATACTGTGAGCGATTCTTACTGGCATGCTTTGAAAAGATCCTCCGCTTCCGCTTCGGAGTAAACAACAAAGCGAAGATAACCGAAGCAAGCCTGAGAAGCTCTCAATAGGAGTAAATACCCGCCGTTTCGGACTTACGCCATCAACATTAGAATCATTGTAAGCAATCATAGTCGGAGGATACCCCACAGCTGCTCCTCCACACCACCAAATTCCATCACGGTTGATCGAATAAACCATTTCACCCTCAACTGGTGGGATAAGACCGAGGAAGAGGGTTAGACCCATGCTGATAATCAGAGCGAGTCCCGCCATGAATCAGAAATGACAACTGAAACCGGCCTACCAGACTTTATTCATGATACCAACGTAGTCAGATTGACTCTCTAGATTACGGGAAAGGTTACCAGGCTCTTATATGGGTAAGTATTCACATTTGATTGTAGCCTACATAAAGTAGGGATCGAGTGAGTTCATTTTAGTTGGGGAAGCCGCACATCTCCTACACCTACGGAGTTCCGGTGAGCGCAGCAGAAGGCCAGACCGGAACACCAAACTTCAAACCGGCAGCCCGCAAACCAGGAACCGGAGACTATCTAGGCGGAGGTCGTAGACCGACCGTCGGTCACCGACGTCCAGTCCCGGCATAGGCTAGTAGGCTGTAATGAGATCTATAAGCGTGTACTGCGAGATGACCGCGAGTTGCGGAGCTACAAACAAGCTCCAGCATCATCTCCACCGTGACATGGGAGGGTGAGGTGAATATAACGTTAACAGCCGCAGTCCGAGGTAACGCTACTAACAACCAAGAGTCATCAGCGAATGCCATTGATCAGCAGCCAGACCATGATCTCTACCGTACCTGTCGCCAAGAATCTTTCGTAGTGCGCCAAATGAAACGGTCATTGCCGCGCCCACAACTAATTTGAGAGCTTAGCGAAGCGTTGCGGCAGCGAAATCACCTCAGTAACGAGAGCCTAAGCAAAACTGGAAAGCACCGCGCAGAGCACACAATCTCCACACACGCACGCGAGAAACGTGTGCGACTGTCCCATGGGACTCAAGCCGACAAAATGCGTGATCACGCATCAGCGAAACATCGGAGTTGGTAGCTGTAGCCGAAAGCCCGAACCTCTTATACAGGTGCGAAAAGTCATATGGGTGCGAAAAATTAAACGGGCGCGACTCGTTACATTAGTGCGAACTCTCACACAGGTGCAGGGAGTTATACAGTTGCAAATCATAATCCCGTGATAATTAACCACAACTTGTGCGCGCAGATACTTATGGACGGGCGAAAACTCTCCGGGAGGATTGCACCACTTCCGGAAAAATGAGGTTCACGACAAGTGAAAGCCCCTCCGACTCGAGAGTGTTCGATTGGAGAACCGAGGCGCCATTCAGCGATGGCTGGATTTCCAAGTGCACTCCAGGGCTCCTCGAGGCTCTCGGGATCCTCACGCGTGTGATGTTGTGATGCTGATAGTCACACGCGTACGATCGGACTTGTGCCCATTTCTAAGGAGCGTACTTTTTCCTTGACAAATTCGAAAATTTACCATTTCACGCTAACTCAGTAATGATTTAGGCTGAAACTTTAAGAAGGCTTAGATATAGAGATGAGCTACCATACACTAAAGTGAAAATGTAAGAGGCGAACACAAACACGTATCACAGCCGTGGAGCCAGCGGGACAAGATGGGAATCATCTTTGATGAGGTCTTAAATATCATAAAGTTGATACACTCCGATAAGAACCTGAGTTTGGGCATGAAAGCCTCCATTCATACTGTCCACTATCATCTGAGGACCAACCTCTAGGGACGCCCAGCCCCGGAGGCTGATCCGGTTCCATCACAGTCTCCACACGAAGAAGTGTTTATCGAGTGGAGTGCGAGATCGATGGGAAATCCATTTTGACGAGTCGTGAGTAATTGCGGAGGTGTCGTCGTCTGTGTGGAAAACATTTCGTGCGGCGATCAACGTGTGGGGTGCATTACGGAGTTGCTGTGATAAATCTATAACGTTGATCTATCACCCTCAATGAGCCTCTGATTAACACTTCTACTGTAGAAAAAAACAGTCCTCTTCACCACACACACCAAACTTTGAGTTCGATGCGAGCCTTGCTGACGTCCGAAAGCGAACAGCTCTGCCCGTCAAGAGCGTCAAATCAAACCAAACATAAAACTGCCAGGTCAACACCTCCATTCTACATAGAAACTTATCTCAATCATTTTTCAGAAGGCAGTTGTCGCCGAGCCTGGCCTATGCTAGCTGATATATCACGTAATACATCTACAGCACTTTCCCGTGTGTAGGGATCAGTATCGCTGCTCAGAGACACTATGGCGGAGTCAAGCGCCCGTTGCCACTTCGCCAGTTCGGAGCTGTTGACCTGAGATCAACCTCAACATCCAACGAGTTGTTGGCGACAACCATAGGATCGACCGGCTATCGCAACTCTATCCAAAGAGGAAGGCAATTTCGGGTTCACAACTCCCATTCCGAAAAAGTCAAATAACCATCAAAGTCGATGTTAAACATAGTTGACCCATACCATGCTGTAACCGCATAACTCGTTCAATCGGATTCCAATCACACTGAATAAAACCGTGAGCTGAACGGGAGCTGTAGTAAGCTTATGTTCATCCACAACCACACACCAGTAGTCAACGCGTCACTCTGCCTGAGTGCGATACCTCTATGGATAGTTCCTCATCGCTGCCTTTATCGTGCTCAACAGCAACTGTCTCATCATCCCACGAGTCAGCGAGATCCCGAGGCATTCGAATCTGCATCACACCGCATCAACCACGAGTTACTAGTGTGAAGCTCACTTGCTCGGGGGGCACCACGGTCGGGCTACCCGCCTGCTCTGCCGTACTGTTCGCTTTATTAGCATATGACTGCGGCAGAGCTCGACCTTCCGTAATAGCTGTTGATAATGCACCCACTGCTGTATGAACTACTGTGCCGAACAGAGACGACAGAGATGTGTGTTCGCCCTGATCAACGATCATGGCATCATAGCGTGTTTCCAATGGGAAACCAACCATAAGAGGGTCAATCTGAGGTGCTCGTTGAAGGGGCTCCTCGGGGCTCACTTGCAATTGTGGTGCGAGCTTACTCTTTCCCTGAACACGCGATTCATCCAGATAGTAAATCGGAGACAACAAGTGCGGGAAAATATGCACATGGATGATGACAATATGAAGGTTCGGAGAAAATTCTGGGAAAAAATTTTGATGGTCTTAACTCGTGTGTAAATATCCACAACGTTGCTTTGGAAACTTTCGAACTTCCGTATATTCCATCACTGGACCCAGCTACCTCCATAGTCATCGTCAGAA